AAAAAAAAAAAAAACAGCAACAAATTAAAAATCCATGCTGACTTAACAAAGCTTCAAACCTGCTTTTCAGATGGTCTAATATTTAAAATAAACTGGTTTCAGTACAGATCTGTTCTCCACTGTATCACTCTTTTATTTTACACACAACAGTGAAACTAAACTCAGCGGAGACAGCAGCAGAGAGGTCACATACATCACACAGGAAAGAAAAGTGTTGTTTTTCCAGGATTTATTGTTTACGAAGTTTACCTTTGACGTCATGTCCGGCTGTGGGGGCGCCAGATTACAAAACAGAGACTTGCATTGTCTCAAATTCTTAAAATATTTCATTGAATGAGTCTATCTTCTTCCAAACCTTAAACACATTTTATCTTGTTCACACAGTTTTGACATCATGTTGACATGACATCACCCACTTTTCAGTAAAACTCTAAACAGTCACTGAAACCCAGTTTTCACAGTGATTTACTGATGACACGGGATCGAAGCAACTGGAGGCAACAACTAAACACGACTACAACAAATACAACACTAGTTAAACACAACAACTCAGAATTGTTCACACCTGCTGCTGATTGCCGATGTCATTTACATGCATTGAGCCAGAGCCATGAGGCCTGAGCCAACAATGCATGGACAAAAAGAGGCAGGGGAGGTCAGGAGAGTAAATATAGTTTCAGCAATTCGGAAACCACAGAATGATAATGATAATAATTACGTGGAAAAAGTTTAACATATGATATTAACATATCCCACACAGACATCATATCATCTATTAACATATTTCTTACTTCCACACCCTTTTTATACATGTTAACTTTATTTAAAATTATAATTTTTTATAATAATGAAAAAGATAGTGATTTAAATAAGAGACAGAAACAAAGATACTACAGATAGTGTTACAGATTACAGATTGTTTTACAACTGTTTGGCACATTTTTTGAAATGTTTACTTGGTAAAATTAGAAAATTAACTTATACTCTCAAAACATCAAATTCTTCTAGAAAAAAA